AGACATGAAGCAGTCCCTGTAGGCAGAGCAGCCAAGAGGGACCAGCTTTCTGCAGGGGAAGAGTTGGCTGGCAGGCATGATTCTAAATGTCTGTAAAACCACATGCAGTGCAGAAGGAAGGGGTAGCTGGTAGGTGATGAGCTGAGGGCTAGGATCCCCAGAGAAAGCTATTGGGTGTTTAATTAAGAATAGTCACACAGGAGACAGTTTGTCAGACACATAATGGCTTTAAACTGACAGAAGGCAGGCTTAGATTAGATGTTAGGGAAAAATTCTTTACTGAGAAGATGCCAAAGTAATAGAATAAGTTGTCCAGAGAAGTCCCATCCCTGGAGGTGTTCAAGGCCAGCTTGGATGGGCTTGGAGCTATCTGGTCTAGTAAGAGACATCCCTACCAACAGCAGGGAGGTTGGAACTAGATGGTCTTTGAGGCCCCTTCCAACATAAACCATTTTGTGACTATATGACTCTTTTATAGTTAAGCCAGGAAATTCTTTGCCACCTGAGGCTGTGGGTCCTAAAATTTACCTGAGCTTAGGTCAAGGCTGGACAGGTTTGCAGAAAAGAAATCCATCAAGTGATACAGTAAAAAACTAACCACCTGTCTGGGACAGAAATGTTAAGCTAGGAATGAGATTTATATTCTTTCCAGTGGGATGTTGCTAAAAACAGGAGAAAAGCTTCTTCTTTAAATAGCTGATTTTTATCTTGACAGTGTCTCTTGACATTTCTACAGCTTTAAAATTACTTTTCCCCTCTCAGTCTTTACTTTCCCATGTGTTATTTTTCTGTGGCAGTCCTCTCCTCTTCATTGGCTTTGTTTCTGTGAAGGACTTTGTAGGCACACAGTTTGTGGAAATTGGGAGTGGGACTGCAGCTGAACCTCATCCCTAATGGGCCACAGCTGTGCAGGACAGGTGAGCAGCATTGCAGGTAATGAGACATGGAGTGCCAAGGTGCCCTGACCAACCACCACAGGGTACAGGGGGCACACAGGTGTAATACATGTAGGATGAAGGGTATAAAAGGTTGTACTGAAGAACTATAAAGAGCTGATGCTTGAAGCCTTCTTCAGTGTAAGTTATACCTTCTCTGTCAGGACTTTGCATAATGTTTTTCTTCAAAATGTTCCCTTTTTTTAAAGCTTCCTAGTTGCTCTGTGATTCTGTTGTGTAGTTTCCAAGTCTTCTTTTGCTTTAGTCTTCTTTTGCAGAAAGTGTGACTTTTCTCTTGGGCACTTTCCCTTGAACAGCTCTAAACCCCACCGTATCCCTCTGTGTCTCTATACAGAAGTCTAAAATATCAATGAGAGAAAGAGGGAGAAAGCAAGCAGGTTTTAATAAAAAGGCATATTTGCTTATAGTATATTTGTTTTCAAAAATTCTGTAACAGGACAAAGAGAAACCTGAACATTTCAGAAAAAATACATGCTTATTTTTCTTCATATATGTGAGAAATGGAGTTGTAAAGGATTCTCAGAACCTCACTGAAAGCTCACAAAGCTTTTGTACATTTGCATGCAAACTCTGAGATAAGGTGTGCTGACTCAGAAAGGCTATGGAATAGAGATGACATTGTTGAGAGAGATATTGAACTAGAAACAAGTTTCAAATAATGGCCTTGCAAAAAGACTAGATATTTTGGAGAATTAGAACTGTGAAAGATGCATTGTAGCAAGACCACATGGTGTAAATAATAGGTGATTGGTCTTAGAAGTATTAGCAGATTGTGTGGCGAAGGCTAATAGGCTGAAAATTATTTATAAGGTATTATAACCAGGAAATAGGTTGGTTTCTGATAGAATGGCATTGAGTTTTACATCTCTTATGTCTCACCCTTCAACAAGACTGATACTGGAATAAAATCTTTTAAAATGCCTCTCTGTTGCCCTGTCTCTGTAAAGCTGGGATTTTCCAACGCATGTATTCTAGTCATAGGCTTTCCACAAAAAGAACAAACATTTCTCTTGCCACTCTCTTGCCAGGATTTGATGTTGAGAAGATGCAGCCTGGTAAGTGGAGGCAATGAGCTCCTGGTTTCACTGGGGCCATTGTGAGGGGCTTTAAGGGCAGATCTCTGGGTCACAGTGAGTTCACATTCTGACTCACCATTAGCTACTGGTATGGACTTACATGTATTCTGTTAAATACATTTGAAAGAGTAAATCTCCTTTAGTCCTCTCAATCAATATAGTTGTGCTGAGGCTCAGAGGCCTTTTCCAACAGAGGATTTCAGCCCTTTTTGAGTTTCAGGTGGAGGCAGATGCAGAGGGGTTTTCTACAGCTGTGTCATGTTAATGAAGAGTGCTGCCCACTTCTCAGCACAAATGGAGTATGGAATCTGGCTGAACATTTCTGGAGTAAATGGGATGCCTTTGAAAACATTGAAGGTGAACTATTTAAACTGTGTTATACAATGGGCTTTATTAATACAGGAATTTTAATTTAGCACTGGGAAGCTAATGTGTACTGTGTGTTACATGCTTCTAGGATGGAGGTTGAGTTTTCATCAGGGTGCAGCTGGTTGGAAGCACCAGGAGCTGTTGTGGTTTCTGGGGTTTGAGCAGATCAGCCAGGCAGAGTGTACCAGGGATGTGGGAGCTGGGCAGCAGTGGGCCATGAACAAAGCAATGCAGGACTGGAGGGCAGTGGTCAGCAGTGACTGGTTCTGCTGCTGGGAATCCAGCTGGGAGGGGGATTATTTCTGCCTAAGGGAGTTCCCTGCTACTCTGATGCAGTGCTCTCACCAAGTGAATGTAGCAAAAGCAATAGGGAATCACTTGTTTGTAAAAGGGGTACCATAGTTTTTTAATTGTGATATGATTAGAGAGTCTTTTGGAATAAAGAGAGTAAAGTTTTAAAGCATCTTCTGAATCGAACTATTGTCTCCTATGACACTTTCTGTCAAGGCAGTGATGATGTTGGTCACATCTTCCAAGAGCATCTTTGAAAGGAAAAGACTTCATTTTTCTTAGATGCCAGTTATGCTAGTTGTGTTTCTCAGTTATTCATGGTGGTTAATACAAAGCACTTGATATCATCGGCATTTTCAGCTGCTGGTTTTACAGCCAGGTGTTTGCTGTCATGAGTTAGGCTTCTGTTAATTAGGGCTTCATACATTCTGCAAAGCATTAACAGATTTGTTCTCCCTGCACACTCTTCATTCATTGCTGCAGAACAGCAGAAAACAATTTAGCTCTCTGGCAGTGTATTTATTACAACACCATATGTTCTGTGTTTACTTATGCTGTACAATTAAGTGATTGTACTGCAAATCATGGCCAAGTTCCTGAATAGCTGGGGCCTAAAAACAAGCTCTTAAATTCATATTTAGATTCCCAAATAGATGATCTTATTTTCAAGTATTGAGTCCATCCTGATTCTTGCTGAGTTTTTTGAGGTGAGCAAACAATCAGCATTTTGAAAAACAGGCCTGCTATATTTTCCCATGCTTCTGAGGGGAATCTAAACTATGGTTTAGACTCCTCTTGATATCTGTGGTATTGCAGTGCCTGTTATATTCTCTACATTGCAATAGTTCCTAATGAGGCTTGTTCATGCTGACAAACTATGAATTTGGATTGCTTAAAATATTCAGTAGAAAGGTTGCCAGCAAGGTTCCAATTTGGAGTCTTTGCTGAAAGATGAGGAGAGGCACAAAGTAAGAATATTTCTGTCAAGTCACTGGGCTTTTTTCATGAAAGGGTAAGCTATAAATACCATCTTTCATATAACATGCTTAACTGCCTGTAGCTAGCAACTAACCTGAGTGAAGTAGGGTTCATCAAAAAGTCTGATTTTGCTCTCAGTATTATTGCAAGCTCTTCAGTATGTCTTAGTAAGGTTCTTTTTTTTTGAGGTTTTCCAAGGTTTTTCTCCAACGTGTGAGTACAATAAAGCTTTCTTTCTTTTCTCTATATTAAAATTTCAAGGAAATTCTGATTCATTATTTCAGGAGCTGAGTTAAATTCTTTCCTCTGGATCATTTTAAAAGAAATTGTTTAAGTCTCAAATATGTGTGCTGGCTAAAGCAGCAAATGTGTGAAATGGTGGTGTTGCTTTGCTTTATGCTGCTAATCCTTGAGAAGAGGATGCTGTCCTTACTCTGTGGGCTCAGAAGCACAGCAGAAGGACTTCTTGACCTAGAACAAAACAATGACAATGTTCTGTGAAAGTATATCATGCACATGGATGCTTCTGAAATATATTGCTGGGGATAACTTAGGCTTTCTTTCCAGAAGAAAATCATACCAATATGTCACTGTGATATTTTCTGAAAAATCCCTTTGCCAGGATTTTTCTCCTGAGAAGCCTCAGAAAAGAAATGTAAACAATAATTATCTGATTGCTTTGGAATGTGGTCTGGAGGTTGTTTACCCACAGGTGCATATTTGGTTCCATGTGGATTGTTTTTAATTAATGACCAATCACCATCAGTTGTGTCAGACTCTGAGGAGTCAGTCACGAGCTTTCATTATCATTCTTTTCTAGCCTTCTGATGTAGCCTTTCTCTTTCTTTAGCATAGTTTTAGTATGTAATTTCTTTTAATATAATATCATAAAATAATAAATCAGCCTTCTGAGAACATGGAGTCAAATTCTCGTCTCTCACCTTGTGCTGGGGACCTCACAACACCACACCAATGCTTTTCAGAAAAAAAAGAGAGCTTACATGATGAGGGGAAAAGGAAAGAATTATTCCTCATAATGTAAGTAAAAGTAGATAAATTTAGATGGTCCTAAAACGGGAGGATTTAATATATGATAAATCAGCCGAGTGATCTGGCACAATTGCAAAGGTGACTTTGAAAGAATTTCTCATTTTCTTTTCAGATGTCTTTCATTTTTCATATTCACGTTGCCTTGATGGATCAGAATTTGAGCCATTTTCAATAATTAATATGCATTTTTTCCCACATAGAGGCTGCTCTTGAGAAAATCATTTTGCTTTGTAAACGTTATTTGTCTGAGTGTGACTGCATGTCTCCATTCCCCTTGCAGAGGCACAGCGATAGCTGGAATTGTTTTTGGCATAGTATTTATGATGGGAGTGCTTGCTGGGATTGCCATCTGTATCTGCATGTGCGTGAAAAGCACCCGTGAGACTCGAGTAGGGGTCATCCGAGCAACGCACATCAACACCATCAACACGTACCCAGGTAAGGAGGCAAAGGGACAGCCCTGCAGGAGTGCCTGTGGTCATGGCAGGAGTGTTATCCTTGGAGTGTTATCCAGCTCCACACTCATGATCTGGTTATTAAAATTCTTAGAAATGCTTCTGCCCAAATTAAGATGCAAGCGAGACCATATGCCAGTGACAATAGTATGGGTTTGGTCTGACATGAGAGAGAAAGAAATAGAAAATAAGTGGGGGGACAGAAAGGTAGGTGACAGAGACAGAATAAGGAAAATATCATCACTCCATGGATCCAAACGATGTTCCATTGATCCTCTCCAGGTGGTCTTCTTGGTGGTGATGGTCCCCCCTGAAAGTATAGAATCCAATGGGATAATATGGCTCAGGCCAGGAAGGAAAACCCAGGCACTTTCCTGGGGCAGGGGGAGTTTTCCATTATCCCGTACAACAGACTCTGGGTTCATTGCATCACATGCAGTCCTGTGGTACAAGGCTTCAGGAATGACTCTGGGGGCACTTTGGTGGGGAGAGGGTCTTTGATGGATTATGGCACTCCCTCAGCTGCCTCTCACATGTCCCATGGATGTCACCTGTGGGGCTGGGGGTTCCACAGCTATAATAAAGCCTCTAATCTGGCCTTATTATCAAGCAGTGCAAGATAGCCTGGGAGCCCAGTCCTCAGGGAGACTGGCCAATGCAAGGAGCCAGCTGCACATGAACAAGAACAAATACAAACACCAGAACACTAAAGAAGAAAGTGGGTGCCCGAAAGCTGGGCTAGCTCGAGGCCGATCGCTGCGGGCTGCCCTCTAGCAAGCTTGGTGATTATCAGCTCTTTAGTGATTGCAAGCTCTCTTAGGATCTCAGCTCTTGCTTGCTGGGTAGGGTGCCCTTGGCTGAGGCTGCAGCAGAGGCGAGAGAGGAGAAGGAGAGGTCCTGGCGTTCCACAGCGATGGTTTTGTTGGGGGAGTCTGTGAAGGGTCCCAGCATCAGCTCTTCTGTCGAATGGGCTAAAGTAGGCCCCTTTTATAGGGTTAAGGGGAATCCAAACTTGACCAATAGTAAGGGTTAAGTAACATAGCCTATGGGGTTACAGAGATAAGCTTTGGGGCGGGGGTCAGGGAACTTATGTTGCTGTCTCAGCAGTTCCTATTGTTTCATTCTCCATGGGGCCTTAGCCAGGTCCATGGGATTTACTACACACAGCTGAGCTGGTTTGTGTAAGGGAGGATGGGTGTTCACTGCCTCTGACCAGAGGTTACACCCAAAACCTCCTGCCCCTCCTCATTTTGGGGGGGGGAAACCTGGCTTCTGTGGGCTGTGGTCTCCCCCACCCCAAATTCAGCCAGGGAAGAATCTATGCTGGGTTTGGCTTTCTTGTGCATACACTCTCTCAGCCTTGTTTGTTTTTCTCTAGGCCTGAGATGATTGAACAATAGCATCTTATCTAGGTGGTTTAGCTTCCAGTCTAAAGTTTCAGTCAGGTTTCTTCAGGGAGGCTTCTTTGGTTATAGCTTCTTTATACAGTTTTTGTTATAATGGGCAAAACTCTTTGATATCAGTGTTTGAGGCATGAACTATTTCAGTCTCTGACACAAAGTAAATGGGGAATGTGACTACAGCAAGAGGCTCTTCTCAGTCTGGAGGGGAACAGCACAGCTCCTGCTGAGAAAGGCAGGACAGCTCAGCATGCAGTGTCTGGCAGCACAGCTCTGTCTGGGAGGGTTTATTCAGCTGCTGAGTGGGCTAAGGAGATCTGGCCAAGGTGACACACTTCACAGATGGGTGGCTCATGGTGCCTGCAGGAGTGTGTCAAACCCTTGCTCAGGGCAGTGCTGCACTTTACAGGACAAGCCATTTCCCTGTGCTGGAGGCTCTCTGGCTATAGATCAGTTGTTCTTCTTTAGTGTTCTGGTGTTTGTATTTGTTCTTGTTCATGTGCAGCTGGCTCCTTGCATTGGCCAATATAATGGAGGCCAGGCATATCACAGAAGGGGGAGAACCTGGGCAATAAGGTCTGTGGACCATAGTGCAAAGGCTTTGAGTGGTGGTGTGGAGTCTAATGCACCCTGAGCTGGTTTTTGCCCAGAGCTCACAAGCACTGCTGGGTGCTGCAGGATCCCACGTGAATTCTACAAAAGCACATGGGCATCTCTGCAGGATGTTCTGTACTGCATGTCCCAGCAGGAGGGACTGCTGGCTGGGATGCAGTGCTCGATCTCTGCATCCATCTGGCATCATGCCTGAACTGGAATTTGGAATACAAATTTGGACAATGGTTGTAAAATCATAGAATGCACTGGGTTAGGGTGGACCTTAGAGATCACCTAGTTCCACCCCCCCAGTCCTAGGTGGGGACATGGTGCTGAGGTACCTGTTTGTGCCTTAGTCAAAGTTAGCTGAGTGTTGGACCTGCTCAGTGCAAACTTCTCTGTGAGTTAAAATTGTTTTGATGTAATTTTTTTGAGGTGCAGGCAGCAGCAGGAAGGCACAGGGTCTAAGGCAGAGGTGTCACAGGGTCTGCAGCATCCCAGGGGACAGTAGGGACCCCTTGTGCCTCTGGGGCAGTGCAGTTGTGTCCAGAATAAGTGTGAGCTGGTACCTACGGCTGTGTATGAGCCAGCTTGGTGTAGAGTCACCCACTGCACCGCACTTGTCAACTTGCACCACTCTAGGAGCACCAAAGGAGGTGGCACCAAGCCAGCTGGGGTTTGCAAGGCACATTTGCCTCAATTCCACATCTACCATATGAAAATGGCCATATTGTTGAAGAGAAAAGCAGACCCTGGATGCAGCATAATGGTGTTTGTGCAATTCAGTGACATTGTTAATTACAAATTCAGGAGCAATTGCCTTGGGATAACTTTGGGAGTTCATTGTAATAAAACGCAGAGGTGTTCCATGCATGAAGTCTTGTCATCCCGCTCCTAGAGATCCCTACTTTTATATTCCCTCCTGTTGCAAAGGTTGCAGAGAACCTGAGGTGCATTATATATACTTATCAATAAGCTATGCAATACTTTTTATGTATTCCTTTATTGTACCAGCTCTAATGTCTGTTTTCTCCCTCACAGCATTAGGTTCCATTTAGAATGAAAGCATCTGTAATCATCCTTATAATTTCAACATTATTTTGTGTACAGAGATGGGTATGAAAGAAAATGGCATTATTAACCATGAATTGCTGAAGAGCTACTTCAAAAATAAATAGTTGCTGCAAGCTGTAAAAACAACAGCAAAATGAAAAAACTCCAGGGCTGTAACCTTTTCCTCCCCAAGTCTGTTCCTGCAATGACAGACACACCCTTATCTCTCAATCTCCAGGCAGTTTGACTCTACACCTCAAGGCCTCTAGTTCAAGCATCAGTTTGAGCAGCTCTTCCTCTCAGCAGCAGCAGCAGGTTTTGGAGGATGGGGAAGCTTGGAAATGTTTTCTGTGTTCCCTGCTGTCATGAACACTTCTGGAATACTGACTGACCTGGTTTGGCTGTGTGGCTTGTGGCCAACACTGCCCTGCCATTACCTGCTTTGGACAGGAACAGCAAGTGTAAGGATGCTCTTGCTTCTGCCTCAGCCACAGCGGTGGTGTAGTGCTCAAGGGAGCAGAGCATGCTTTTCATGGCACAGTGGGATTTGAGTCTCTTTCCCCCATCACAAACATCCTTGGTTTCTGTTTCCACTCTTTGCTCCTACTGTTTTGTTGCCAGTCTGCCTGAGACATCTACAGAAGGGATAGGAGAGCATCTGTGGTGACATAAATGGACACATGAGCAGACTCTGGACCTTAAAGTTTGTAGAGAATACTCCATTTGGATGCTGACACAGAGCCCTTAGTTCTTACCTGCTATCATTCTGCAGCATTCGCTGTCTTTTTTTTGTCAGTGAATGAATCCTTTTTCTTTAACATTATTAGAAGTAATTGAGGAAAAGTTTTCAGCTACTTCTGAATATTTTTGTTGCCTCCTAAATGCCTAATCCAGTTTATGAATGCTCGGCTCTCCTCAGATGTCCCCATTGGTGTGAACAAGGTGAAAGCTTTGCTCTTTCTCAGCCCAAGCTATGCTAAGATGTCTTGCCCTGGGAAGTGTGATGCTGCTGTGTTTGCCATGGTGTGGCATCTGGAGATCCAGAGGGTGTTTGAGGTGTCTGTGGAGATCAAGAGCCCTGACTGTTTCATTTTGACATGACATAAATGCCTGTTGCTGCTGAAGGAAGTGGAAGGGAATGGATCTGATAAACTCAGCCTTTCTCTCCTGAAAATGTTTAGCTCTACCACGTTTGCCTGGTATCATCTGCCATACAGGCACTCAAACCCTGTTACTGGCACAGCCTATTGGTAGGCACACAGCTAAGGAGGGAAGTAAAGGGCAATAAACAATGACTCACATTGATATAAATTGACTGTATAATGGCAGCCTGGAAAAAAATGAACGAATTGCCAGGAGGTTTATATCAGTTACATGCAAGTCTGGATATCAGCAAGAAAATAATTGAAGGCTGCATCGGAAAAACAGTTTTTTGACTCTGTGTTCTTTTTTCTCCCATTTCAGTGGCTCCACCACCATACAGTTATGAACATGAAATGGAGCACCCAGCTGACCTACCTCCACGTTATACTCCAGCCCCACAGACTGTGATGCAGTATCCCCCACCCCCTCCATACCCTGGATATTCAGGGAAATAATTAACATGGCTTCACATGGATATTGACTGCCTCGTGAAATAGCCAGCACTGCTGGGACAATGCTATTGGCTCAGGGACAAATAGGATTGGGTTTTGCATCAACGCATGTGGCCAGGTGGTGAAATAAACTGGAAAGGTTGTCAAGGCTCAGGATGAATAAAAATACTGTCCACTCTGGACCATCATGTTTCATGATTAAACAACATGTGACCAAAGAAACAGTTCCTAAAAGTTAGTGTCTGATGAGTAGTGCTTAACACCAGTTCTTAGCTTCACCTGCAGCACATGGGAGTGGGGGTTTTCCCACACAGGAATGTGCAAGTGGTGCAAACAGTTCAACAAAATGTTTCAAAAGCACAAGAGGGTGCTGGGGCTTATTCTGGAGGAAAGCATCAACTGTTGTCTTGAGGTAACCACTATGCCCTTCCTTGAAACGAGGGGAATAAGCAACAAGAAAGATTGAAGCTGTTTTCTGTTTCTACTTCCAGCTGATAATGCCCAATGATCACTGTGCATATTGGTCTGATAACCATGTTACAAGGAGCAGTGCTGGTAGAGTTTTCTAGTAATTAAAAAATTATGGGTAGTATTTTTGGCCAAGTGCAGATTTTTTTTAAGTGCCTCTTTTTAAGCAGTTTGTGTCTAGTTTATGAACTGAAATGTTAACATAAGGAGAAGTTTTGTATGTGAAATATGCTAATTTATAGCTGATCTATTTTTACATGGACTTAAAACCTCTATACATTGAAAATATGCTAAAATGCCTTTTATACCAGCAAATGATGTTTTGATTTTCGTATAAAAATACTGAACCAGCAGAAATCACAAATGGTAGAAAAAATGCAAAACAAATATTAAAATGTCCTAGATTTTACATCAGTTCAATTGGATAAAGCCAAGGTTTAAGAATTTTTTTACCATTTACGAGGATATCCAGCCTTAGCAAAGAGATGAGGGTGGAGACTGTGAGCATCTGATTACTTTTGAATGTGTCTTGGGCAATTTAAAACTGTAGGTCATCAAGTAATATTTTTACATTTGCCATGCATGCTGTTCAAACTTAATTATTCTCCACTATATGCAGTCCAGATCTTCATGATTTAAAATATTCCATGTACTTATGCAGGTAACTGTAATTCTGCAGCAGCTATTTGACTTCAAAATAGCGTATTCAATTACCTAAAGCATCATCTTTCAGTGTTGAGACTATTGTTTTTCTCAGGTCTGTATGCAAACCACAAAGAGTGGGTCTCTTCAAAAATTTAAAAGTGCTGAATGCTCTTGGTTTGAGTTGGGTGTCTGAGCAGTTTGAGAATGCTACAGCTGTGGCATCAACTGCAGGTTACTGCTGGTTCACAGAGATCAGAATGCATTTAAATGTTTTCCAGTGTAGCCTTTCTCTTCAAGTGTATTGATGTAGTAACAAATAAAAAAGCAACTTGCAAAAAAGGAGTTACTGTATCCCAGTGAAATCAGCCTCTCATAATCCCTGAAGTCTGGCGGTTTTGGTATTTAGTCCTGATTCAGGGAAGAACTGAAGCAACATTTAACTGAGCATAAAATTTATTCGGAGGCATTCTTGAAACAAGGCATTACTGACTGTTCTTGCTCAGATTTTGCAGTTGTATTTATCCTTCCCAGGCTGACTAAACTTACCCCCTTGAAACTCCACTTAAAAGTGCAAATGGCCTCAGTCCCTGCCAGTGTAAATTCAGAGGATCTGTGTTGTGGCCATTGCTCACACTGAGTACCCAAGGTACTTGTGACCTAGTCAGAGGAAAACTGAGCTGCATCTCAGGTGTTTGGTTGCTGTTTGGTTACTCCTTGGAGTCTTCTCTGAGAAAGGAGAGTTGCATTCTCATTTCTGTTTTGCTGCTCAGAGGTGACAAGTCCTGAGCTGGCTTATCGTTACAATTACTTCTGCTCTGGGTATGTCCTGTGGCATTTCAGCTGTTACCCTGACCTGTCAAGAGATCCCAGGTGAAATCCTCCCATGAAGAGCAACCCCCTGTGTGTGGTGTTTTGGCAGTCCCTACTCAAAACCATCTGCTGGGGTGTTGATGTGCCTGCCAACATGGTGACCAGGATGAAGAACAGATCAAACATAGCTTTTCCTGCAGAGAACCCTGTTTCTGCTGCATCATTCTATGTTAGTACATCAATACTTTCTAGTTTTGAATAATATTTTGGTGCCAAAAAGTTACCTATAGATAATGAGTATTGTCACTTTCCCATTCCTGTATTTCATTTCTTTGTGCTGAACATGAAGACACACAAATCAAAGAGGGGTTTGTATTTGAGTAATTCAGTCTTCTGGAAAATACAGAGAAAGGAAACTATCCTATAGATCATAAATCTTCCCTTAGAGAAAGAATTTTTCCACCCGTGACATTTGTCAGAACAAGTTAGGGAACAGATTTCTTGCATAAGAAGGAATTTCCAAGACTAAAAGTCTTTGATCACAGTTTTCTGTTTTTCAGCTTTGTGATTGCATGGTTCCTCTGATGATGTTACATAAAGGACATAGTGACCAAAGTACCTGCAAGGTTTAGATTACTTATTCCAGGGAATATTATGGAAATGAGAAGTTGAGAATGTAGTAGTGATTGAGAGCTATTGTTTTTAATTAAAACAGCAGTGGGAATGTTCATTTTTGTATGTTAGTTAATGCTGTGCAGATCTGCATACCAGACAGTGATTTTAATCTCAAAGGACAACACATCTCTTTTCCTTGCTATAATGGCATAAAACAAAGGTATTGCCCTTTCAGCAAACCAGACAAAATTAGTATAGAGTAGCCTAAAAGAGGTGATGATTCCATTGAAAAGAAGTAAAACTGAGAGAAATGGAGAGCAGGATGGAGCCGAAGCGATTTATAAAACTGAAAGAATAGAACAAAAAAGTTGCTGTGTAACAAATGGAATCATTTGACAATAGTAAAGTTCTATTATTTGAGTTTAGTTGAAAAAATGGAAGTGTTCCAGTGCCTGAAAGGTACTGCAACAAGGCTGGAGTGGCACTTGTATTTACAAGAGCATGTAGGAGAAAATGGGGAAGTTTTGCTATAATACACAAAAGTCCTTCATGAAGATGTTTAAGCCATAAATTAAAACATTTCAGTCTCTGACATATGGGAATTCTTCAAATGCTGTAGTAACTCTAAAAATAATTTTTTTAGAGACCATGGAATAAAACACAACAGGTACTTAACAGCACACAGTAATAGCATCTAATACCCTGAGGCAAAAATTGCACCAAAGAATTAATGGAAGTTTAATTTATTTCTCGTGCTTCCCTAAGATATCAATGTTTGGACAAAAAACCTTGACAAAATAATGACCAGGACTTCATATCAAGTGGCTTCTATGATTACACCCAGAAAAGTGGTTGTAGCTTTTACATTGCAGCAATGTATGAGATCCAAAAAGCAGAGCCCTTGCCCAAGCCTGACTTGTGGTACACCCGTTCTAAATCCTGTTCCCACCCTGTTGAGGTTTGGTGTACAGCAAGCAGAGGACTGAAAAAAAGAGATGTGATGGTCCATCACTTCAAAAAGAGAAAAAGAAATGCAGAAAAATATAACGGTGAAGATTTTTCTTGTTCTGTATTAATTTCATAGGACAGCTCACTGTCACTGTATGAAGGGAGCAATGAGCTGGAAGTGTGTTAAAGAGCTGCCATGCAGTAAGGAAAATAGCTGAGAGAAGGATCTGGGGAGCTCCAGCTCCAGGACCATGTCACTTAAGGTTCTGGAGGCAATAACTAGAGCAGAAACATTTATCTGTCTGGTCTGTGAAGATTAGGCAGTCAATATTTACACAGCTCTGGAAATGGAAAACATTAATTATTTTTCTTGCCATACTACGCACCATTAGTGTTTACGTCATTAGTGAAGAGTAGAAGAGAGCAGGCTTTGGATGCCATTGCTACCACAATGATGACTCAGAGGGGACTAAAGCCAACAGAAACAAAAGGAAAGCCAAAGACAAGCAGTTCTGAAGAAAGTGTCTTTTTTTTGGTGAAACTTGCATATGGAGCTGGTTCCTTCACAGAGATGAGTTGGCCTGCTGCCAGCAAAGGCAGCTGGTTTTGGACAGCTATGGTTGTGGATGATGAACACTGATGAATTCCAGGGACTGTTCGTGGATGTGATGTGACCTTGCTGTAATTCCTCCTTCGCCAATCTTTTTAGGATATTTAATTTTTTCTCTGTTAAAGGCCATTGATCAATCCATACAGGATGATCAGTTTTGCAGTTCAGCTTTAAAGTGGTATGTTTTTTGTGTGGTTTCCATCACAGGCCCACCTCCAGTTTTGCTCCCCATTTGGACAGGATGTCTCTCCCCCAAACGATGAGAGGCTTCTGAACAACAAAAGGAGACGTACCATTGCTGTCCTTCCTTCAGGACCTGTAATGTTAATCATGGATGCACTTTACAAACACACAGTAGCACCTCCAATCCCTGTGAGGGAACCTGCAGGAGCTACCAAATCCCAATCACTGGGCCAAAACATGTGAGAAATTACTGTGACATCTACACCAGTGTCCGGCATGCCTGTAATGTAAATCATTTTACCACAGTGAGTCAGGCTGCAAATCAATTTTGGTTGGTTGGGGTCTAAAAATTGCACCCAAAAGACCTCAGGACCTGAGGTTCCAAATAGCACAGACATAATTGAATTAGCTGGAAAGTTGTTTTGCTTGAGTGTATCATGGTGAGAAGGAGTTTAATATCATGGATTTACATCATTACGACCATATCATACAGATAAGGCAAGGAATTGTTCATTTGAATCCAAATTTTTTTCTAAATTTTTATCAATATTAGACCAATTAGTTAGTGGAAATGGAGGATTTACCTCTGCTTTAGATTGTGTTTTGCTTTTCTCTCTCACCACTGCTGCATCTGACACAGAGGAAAAAGGAGTGCTGTCACAGCAACCAGCCATCCCAGGAGCCCTGCCAAGCAGGGCGGGAGAGCAGAACTCCACATTCCTCC